AGCTCTCCTTTTCACGTTTGATTTACCGTTTACCTGAGGATTACAAAGCTCAATAAAAAAGCCGTAATTGCCGAGAGCCAACACATAAATTGGGATTGTTCAAAAAGAGGGTTTCATTCTTCCGCTCTTAAGGCCAAATGAATCAACGGTTTAAAACACACGTACAAACGGCGCCACACTGATACGTACGAACTTATTCGTATTCCATTGAGAAAACAGATTCGAATTCAATACTGAGATCGCCGAGTATGTTACAGTGCTTTTGCAATACCATGACTGTATCAATCCAGGGTACTGTCTCTCACATACAGAAGCCACTAGCTTAAATTAGTACTACAATCTCTTGAGTGTAATATTGGGTTCTGGAACTGTGCCACCTGTTCACAGCCCTGAGTGGTTTACTACTCGGATAGTGAGGGGAATCTCGGTTCTAAATTTACATCTTACCTGTCAGGTTATAGTTCTTCAGTGCAGTAAAAATGAGAAACGTGTACAAATTTCTCACATTATGCCGAAGGCTGTCAGCACATGTTCAGTCGTGTGCGGAGAGTGAGGCATTTATCAAACGTCGCAAATGAATTTACTTCCAGATCATATGGTTGCGTCACATTTAGTAATGATTGACGGAGCCGTCGTTCATTTCAGTATCATATGGGCAATCCCGAAATTCATGTGCAACCAAACCGATCGTTCCCGTTTTAAGTGTTACGACATGCTACAAAATAAAGCGAAGAGCACCATGAAAGCTAAAATGGGATTTTCATAGAAGTATAGAGAATATGGATATCATTGTTCGACTAAAACGTATTTAGTAGCGGGGTGTCCGAACTCAGAGTCACATATTGACTTTGATTAATTCACTTAATATTGACGGTTTGATTCATTTTGACGAAATAATGTCTTTTTCTGAAGCAAAACGCGTTTTATTTTACGTCGGTTTTCACCAAATTGTTCAGTGATTTGTTTGGCATATGAAAATATTTTACAAATATCGATCTCTAAACCATCAGCTCTGACTGCGAGGTTTTCAATATGGGTGTGTGTTGCACTACAACCATTCGGCTGGGTGAAGGAAGCATGTAACGTGTACACGCCATGTGTTCTGGAATTATCCCGATCGTTTCGTACTTTGATCATGTTTCTATTCGTTTATATTTTTTTCTGATTGTTCTTAGAGCGAGATTTGAGGAGGTTGTAAATTGAGGTCGTATATGACAATGTGTTTCTGTATCTGATGATGATTGTCGTTCACCGGCAAATAGCAAACATTTAAAATAAACAGTAAATATTGCTATATTTGTACCTAGTTTGGCTCCAACCGCTTGGTATCCACATTTCTGTTTCCTACCTGTCACAAAATATTATGACGTTGTCTTTTTCAATTGGAGACATATGCGTGTTGATGCTCGATATGCTCACGAGTTCTCGTGCACTTCGTTTATCCATCTCCTTATGAAGAGAATCTACGTTCGTCAAGGACGGTCTGCTGTGTTTCATGAGAGATGGTTTACCCAGATGTACTAGATGACGGTGCCGTATGTGAAATGCTATAAATAAATCAATATTGTATGAAGCAGTAATTATAGAACAATACTTCATACATTTTCCAGAAGGTGTTGAAATCGGTCCTGATCAGAAAAGTTCGTAGGCCACGTGCTCAACAACCTAAAACGTGACAGTCGATAAACCTTTGTTGGCGTTTTCCACGTATTAGGGTCATACCGATGCAAAAACTAACCAGACACTTCAACATGACTATAGTTATAAAACACACTACTTCAGGCGTTGGCATTCATTCCGTATCGATAGTAATCACTGGCTTTGACGATTCCTCATTGTTGTGTTGCTCGGGTTCGCTTGATAGTGTGCATGATGTGATGCAATCTCAGTCAATATTTATGCATCCAAATTGAACGTTTAGTGCGCTAAATCAAAAGTGTTCAAGATGCCAGTCGGTTTACAAGCGAATCAATATGATAGCTGAAGTCAGATGTTCTACTTTGGTCTGTGTCACACTGTATGAACAAATCGCCGATTTAAGGGTTGCAGTTTGAATCAGAAAATGAGCTCTGGTCTCTGTAATCCCAGTAAGAACGAAATGCTGTTTGCTCAGGAAGTTTTGGCCAATTTTATCCCCACAACAGACTGAGTATCCTTGCCTGGGCAGACAA